CAATTTTAAAGTGTTCTTTGTGTGTGTGTGTGTGTGTGTGTGTGTGTGTGTGTGTGTGTGTGTGTGTGTTGAGATCAGAGAAAAACTTAATGGAAGTTGGTTCTTTTCTTCTACCATGTAAGTTTCTGGGCATCAACCACAGGCCATCATACTCTGAGAGGAGAGAACTGACTTACAAAATTGTCCTATGGCTCCATATGTGTGCTATAACATGTTCATGGTCATGCCCATTTAACATATATCTCACACATGTTCCCAGAATAGTAATAAAGTTTTTAAAATTAAATTATGCCTGTCTGTCTATTGTCTCTCTTTCATCCTGAGACCTCATCTGTTTACCTCTCTTTCTGCATTTGTTTATCTGGCCAGCATTAATACTACATTACTGGGATGCCATAACATGTGTAGCTTCAAAACAGAGATGTATTTTTTCAGTCAAGACTAGAACTCTAAGATCAAAGTAAGCTTAGGGCAGAGTAGATCCTGATGAGGTCTCTTCCTGGCTGGTAGTTGAAACCTTCTTAACTCTGTTCACATTGTTCTTCGATGCATACAAGGAGAAAATGAATTTAAGGTCTCTTACTATTATTAAAAAAATAAATAAATGAGTCATTTAGGATTTGGTCTCCATCCTTATGAACTCATTTAGCACTTGATTACCTACTTAAGGACCTATATCCAGATACAGTCACATCTTAGTTTGAGCACATGCTTTTGAAATACATAATCCAGTCCACAGTTAAAATTTAAAGATGAATACAATGAAGAAAGCTAAAAACCAGTATTCCTCCACTTTGACATTAGGTGACATCACTTATATTAGCAAATATCATTTGCAGCATTGTCCTAAACACATTACATATAGAAACAGATTGATGGTTTGTTGGATCAATGTAACTTTATATTTATTACTCTACCATGAATATTAAATATATTTTTACTTTATTTTATGTGTATAAGTGTATTGCCTGCATGTTTGTAAGTGCACCTGTGTCATGCAGTGCCCATGAAGGTCAGAAGAGGGCTACAAATCCCCTGGAACTGGAGTTATGGACAGTTACTAGGCACCATGTGGCTGGTGGGAGCCAACCCCTGATCCTCTTCAAGAGCAGCCAGTGCTCTTAAGCACTGAGCCATCTCTCTAGCCCACAAATTAACATTCTTATACCAATACCTTCTACCTGTACCTTCATTTTCACTTTGTCATGTTTTCAGTATTTATATTGTATTCAGAAATTACCATTCATGCTTAGGTTTAGCTTTTATTCTGTTTTATATTGGGTTCAATAATTTTTATCATTTTTTTTTTTTTAGTTTTAAAATTAAGCCATTGCTTAATTTTTTTTATTTTTTGGCCTAGTAATTTGTTTAAGAAAAAATTTTGAGGTAGACATAACCATTTATTTTAAATTTAATCTGTGTCTCTTGTTTCTTGCTTATTTGCCATTAACTGTGCTTTCTCCACTAGTAAGTCATGTTAATTTTACTATTCTTCACTTAGCAAGATACTAGATTTTGATATCCAGCTTTACTATGGTATATCTACTATATTTACTTCAGGGATCACATTTATTTTTGTTAGTGCTATTTTGTTATTTATCATACTTATATTTTTTACAGTAATCTTTGGCATCAGCAAAATATTACATGTCAGTAAAGGAGATGACTTTACAATTACATGAATGTTTGTCCTCAAACTTGATTAGGCTTATTGGAAGAAGGTATCTAGCAGTTTCCTTGAGAATTATCATAATTTGGGTTAAGAAGTAAAGTACATGGTTATCAAAGTTAGCACGTAATATGAACCAAACAGGCTACATTGTAAATATACTGAAAGATAAAACTAGGTTGGACTTCTGGGGCCTAAGACCTAGGCCAAGCAAAATAAGATAATATTAATAAGAAAAACAAAGGATCTGTTTCTTAAATTAAAATGTTAAAGAATATAAGGGCAACATCTTAGGTAAATATATAAAAAGTATTTGGCATTTTTTGATAGTAGTATACTCATGATGAAATAGATCTCAAAAAGCATCAGTTTTAAACTTAATAGCATTCTAGCATTTCCAATTATGAATGTGAGCATTCTTTTTATTTTTGGTGGTTGAATCACAGATCATTGTGGGAGATTGAATTTTTTTAAAAAGTTAAATTAGAACACATTCAGAGCAAAACTATAGTTCTACTTAAGAAGGAATCTAACTCTATGCGATATGAAAAAGAGTTGAAGGAACTAACAAAGATTAATATGGAGAAGACTTAAGTTGTATAGTAGCTATTTTCCAATATTTGAATGAGTTATTCCTTATTATGAAAAGAAAAAAAAATTCAGTGAATTGAGTTAATGTTAGGAACTGTCAAGAGCTCAAGAAATGTAATGACGAAAGCTCCCCTAGTAGCAAGTTTCTTGCCCTGAAATGGTCTAGAATGTCATTTGCTTGGAGAATTTTTGTTTGTTTGTTTGAGCAGGGTTTCCTTGTAGCTCCAGTTAGACTGAAACTGGCCGTGTAAACCAGACTGGCCTTGATCTTACAGAGATCTGCCTGCTTTTACTTCCTCAATGCTGGGATTAAAAGTGTCCACTGATACTTGGCTTTCTTAAAATTTTTGTCAAATTCGCACGTAGTACTTTATTTTGTATGTTTATATACCATATGTATATGTATTATGTATACCATAATATAATTTTTCCTATTTATGGATAGTTTGAATTGTGTCTTATGGTAATTTTCACTCTTAGATGTTTATTGCATTTTTAAGAATCTGGCTCAGTGGTTAAGAACACTGGTTGTTCTTACAGAAGACCCGGGTTTGAATCCCAGCACCCACATGGCAGCTAACAACTGTCCGTAGTTCCAGTCCCAGGGGATCCAACAGCCTTTCTGACCTCTGCGGGCATAGCACAACACAGGTGCACTTACCTACATGCAGGCAGTATACACATACACATAAGATAAAAATAATAAATTTTTTTAAAAAAAGAATCTGATTTGTGTGTCATAAAGTTGTTTACTTTCAGAATCCCTTTTTTGGTCATCTAATTATGAATTAAGACTTTAGTTACCTTGTTTTGTAACTAAGAAATATTTTTAAACTCTTGTAATATAGTTTGATATTTGCCAATGTTAATTATTTACATTTTTCTCAAAGAAAAACATTCAAGAATCAACTGCACAGCTGATAACACTGCATGAAATATTAGAGGTAAGTGTAGTTTGTTTGTCATCTTAATGCTATCTTGGTCACTTGTAAACAATTAGACTTAAAACAAAAAAATACTGCTTTTTTTTTTATTAAGAATATTTTATTTTGGGGGCTGGAGAGATGGCTCAGTGGTTAAAAGCACTGGCTGCTCTTGCAGTAGGGCCTGGGTGTTCCCAGCATCTACATTGCAGCTAACAACCATCCATAACTCTAGTTCTAGGGGATCCAACACCTTCTGACCTCTGTGGACACTGCAGGACACAAGTGCACTTACATAGAAGCAATAAACACATTAAAAAATAAGAATATTTTATTTAATAGAGATTCATAAATATTTATTGAATAGATTTGTGTAACTTACCTTTTTACCAAGTTAGTATCTGTCTTCTATATAGTGCTGGGAAGAATGTTACTCAATTTTAAAAGAACCTGAAATTAAAGTCTAGCCCTTAGGTTCCTAAGGTTTATTGCAGTTAGACTTAGAAGTTATTTAGTATTTGTATCATAAAATCTTGTGCTGCTACATTGAAAGAATTGTAGTTGACAACTCAGTATTCTACCTAAATATGTAAGTACATTTAAATTTTTTTCTCAAATGTCTCTTTTGCCACAATGGAAAGATTAATTCCAACCTTTTCTGTTTGACATTTATTTCTTTTAGAAATAAATATTTTTGACATTTAAAAAATGTATTTGAGCCGGACGTGGTGGTGGCATGCCTTTAATCCTAGCACTCGGGAGGCAGAGGCAGGCGGATCTCTGTGAGTTCAAGGCCAGCCTGGTCTATATAGTGAGTTCCAGGACAGCTGGGGCTACAGGGAGACCCTGTCTCAAAAATACCAAAAAAAATAAATAAATAAAAAAAATATGTACTTGAACTTTACCCAGATTATTTAATATATTCATTTACTATAGAAAAAGCTTGGTATGACAATCTATGGAAAATTTGCCAGAAAGAAAATGAAACAGTCTCTGAAAAGCAGGCATCAGAGTGCCTTTCTTTTTCTAATTATTAAATTTAGAAGATTGTTTTCAGAAAACATGTTTCATTGTAATTAATGAGTTGGGTACAAAATTCTTAGGTCTGTCACCTAAGATTACCTTTCTTAATAAAGAATATAGGCTGGGTGTGGTGGTGCATACCTTCAATCCTAGCATTTGGGAGGCAGAGGTAAATGGATCTCTGTGAGATCATGGCCAGCTTGGTCTCCATAGCAAGTTCCAGGCCAGCTGGGGCTATAGGGAGACCCTGTCTCAAAAAGACCAAAAAAGAAATAATAAAAAATAAAATGAAATAAAAAATCATTGCTTTGAAAAAGCAAGGTAGAAATATTTATTGGATTTATAACCAGAATCTGAATGTTTTGAACTCTACCAATGTACACTGAAACTATAGCTGTTTTCTTAGATGTGTTATCTTTTTTTGAATACAAAAATGTCACTTTGGGGCAGCAAGATAGCGTAGTGGGCTTGAGTTCAGCCTCTCCTGAATGGTAAAAGGAGAAAGCTTTCCCTGCAAATTTTCCTCTAACCTCCACATGCCCATTGTGAAGTGCTTCCCCCCACCCTTTCTTTTTCTCCTTCACATGTGTATGTACACACACACACACACACACACACACACACACACACACGTACAAGTGTTTGTCACTTAATGTGGAAAATACTGAAAGTGTTATCTGAAACACATGAGTATAAATTTTTAATGTTATGCTACGGGATACAATATAAAACTTAGAAAACCAAATACTTCTCTGAGGTTCATATTATCAGAGAAGTATAATTAAAATTAGTAATGAAAAATAGCAATTTTATTTACTTGTTGATTCCTATGGTGCTGGGATTGAACACAAGTCCTCGTCATATTAGGAAACTAGACTCTAAAATATGGAAGTATTTCTTTATCATGATACCTAAAAGAAAGAGGATAACAAGCTTTTTATTTCCCAGGATAAGGGACTTCAAAAAAGACAATTAGTAATAATTGACAGTTTTTTTATAGCACAGAAATTTATTTGTTCCTTGCTTGAATACATTTTATATCAAAAGATTGGGCTTGTGTTGGGTGTGTCTAGCAAATCACATGGAGGCACTGAACTACAAAGGGCAACAATCCAGAGATAGCAGAAATGGAAACTGTATTCCTCGTTGTAAGAATATTTTTAAAGATTTGTCTGTGATCAAATCAAGCCATTCCCTTAACAAAATGGTTGATCTGTTAGTTGACATTTTTATTTTGTGAATTGAAATATTGATATTATGATTGAAATTAGAGATTGGCAGTTGAATTTTACTTTCTTTTATAGCATTTTATATTTGTATTATTCTTTTCCTTTCCCATGTTTCATAAAATAATAGCATCTTTCAGTTAAAGCTTTGGCTTGGCAGTCGATGATTTTTCACTAATTATGTGCTTCTGTGGATTCCATAATCCTTTGGACTTCTTATTTCTTAAATTGTAAAGGAACCGGGAGGTAGACGAAGAGGCAAAAATAATAATAGACATCTAGCATTTTCACCATATTTTGTGAAGCATTAGTATTCAAAGAATTATAGATAATTATTTCATGAAGAAAACTACAAATGCCTGTGGATTTGTGGGTGATAGTTGATTTTTCAGATCACATTAGCCACCTTCTCTGAGATTTTTTGGTGATGACAGAACCTGGTTTTTATCTTTTTTGTTTTTTAATTAAATTTTGATTTAACATACAAAATAATGTATTCCATTATATTTTCATATATATTATATATAGGTATATATGTATGCATATATATGTATATTTGTACCTTGCTCATATTTGCCCCCAACCACTACCTGCCCCAATTCCTCTTGCTGGTCCCCTTTCCTTCCACCAAATAGCCTCCCTTGTTTTATCTCCCTCTCCGGTCATCTTCTCTGGTTCTCCTTTCTCTCCATCCGTTTTTTTCTTCCCTCATAGTCCTTCCTTCTGTAGTTTCATTTCATTCGTGTACACACACACACACATACTTAATCTAGATTCCACTTATGAATGGAAACATGATTTTTGTCTTTCTGAATCTAGCATATTTTGTTTAATATAATCTTCAGTCCCATCGATTTCCTTAAAATGGCATAGTTTCATTCATTATGGCTGAATAAAATTTTGTTGTGTATATATACCACATTTTTAAAAATGATTCATCTGTTGATGTTCATCTTGGCTGAGAACCTTAGTTTTCAATACCTTAGAACTTATTAAGGGACAGAACATGTTAACTTCCATGTAGAAATAATTTTGGGAAAAGCTACCTTATCAAATTAATACAAATACTTAAACTTGCTAATTTTGGTTGTAAGCCTTCAATATCCTTGATAAGTAATCAGAGATATTCAGGATGAAGTTGAAGGAAATAGGATGGTAAAATCAACTACTTTGAATATTTAACAGAGAGATGGGTGTTTTAAAGGCTAGAACTAGTGATTTCTTTTTCTCTCAGAGACTCTTCCTAGCTTTCTTTTGAACTTTGTATGCATTTTGTCAAATTGTAAATTTCCCCCCACAGTGCTAGTAATGAACCCTAAGGGTTAATGTATGCTAGCTCAGTGCTCTACCACTGAGCTTTACCTTTCATTCTTAAGGTTCTTGTCTTTATTCTTTATCTTGTTTTTAGGGAAGGGTTCAGGAAATGTTTTCTCAAGTTAGGATACAAGGATTCATTTAAAAAATTTTTTTCATCCACCGGGGTCTGTAGTCTTTTAAAAAAGCAGATCATTATTTTAATATATAAAGGAAAAATAGCCACTGTTCAATGTTCTTTGGGAAAAACATTTATTGTTTTAGGATAGTATATAGACTTTTTCCCAAGTAAAATATATTTTGAATGATTTTTTTCCCCCTAGATCCTTATAAATAGAATGTTTGATGTTCCACATGATCCATATGTCAAAATTAGTAATTCCTTTTGGCCACCGTATGTTGAGCTGCTTCTTCGTAATGGAATTGCTTTGAGAAATCCAGAAGATCCAACCCAAATAAGATTAGAAGCCTTCCATCAGTAAAATGGTGGTCTGTTTTCACACAGTATGGAATCATGTCACTCATGAATAAAGTTATTTGCAAATCAAAGCTGTAGTCCATTTTTCTATTGTTGCTGTTGTTTCTGATTTGAGATAGGGTTTCATATATCCATCCCATGCTGATATTTAACTAGTGATCCTCCTGTGTCTGCCTCTTGAGTATGAAGATTATAAGCTTTCAGCACCATCCCCTGGTCAAATTCTTTGTATCGAAAGGACACGTGCTACCTTGGGGCAGGAGAGATGGCTTAGTAGTTAAGAGCACTTACTGCTCTTCCAGATAACTCGAATTCAGTTCCCAGCAATATATATGTATTTATTTTTATGTGTTTGAGTGTTTTGCCTGTATGTATGTAAGTATACTACATGTGTGCCTGGTGCCTTCAAAGGCCAGAAGAGGGCATTGGATCTCCTGGAACTGGAGTTAAGGATGGGTGTTAAGGATGTGGGTGCTGGGAACTGAACCTGAGTCCTCTGGTAGAACAGTTAAGTGCTCTTAACCACTGGGCCATCTCTCAACACCCGCCCCTGAACTGTTTAATAGTATGTATAAGAACTAGTACAAGGATAATTTTAAAAATGAAGTGATAGGTGATATGGAAAGTGACAATTTCAAAATATTTAGCAAGTTATTTCATATATAGTTTTTTTTTTTATTTCTAGGTTTGTTAGAAATTGCAATATGAAAAGCTAATGTTTAATGCTAGCTTGTAAACTTTTTTCTTTTATTTTTCAGACAGGGTCTCATATAGCTCTGGCTGGCCTCAAACTTACTAGTCTTCCAGCTTCTACCTTCCTGAGTACCTGAATTACAGGCATGTGCCATTATTTCCAGTTTATGCTGTGCTAGGGTCTAAACCCAAGATCTCATTGGTGCTTTGCTACATCACTAACCCTGAAATCTCTAGCTTAAAAAGATGCTATATGGCGTATTTTAGTCTACTCTTGATTCCAGCCAGTTACAACAAAACTGTAAATATTCTGTAAATAAAATTATTTGTAAAAATCTAGCTATTCAGGGCTGAAGAGATGGCTCAGCGGCTGAGAGCACTGGCTACTCTTGGAGAGGACCTGGGTTAGATTGCCAGCACTCGCATGGCTGACAGCCATTTGTAACTCCAGTTCCAGGGCATCTGATGCAGTCTTCTGACCTCCACAATATTGCATAACACAGGTGTACTTATACACATGCAAGCAATATACTCATACACATAAAATAAAAATAAAACATTTTAAAAAGTCTAGCTATTGGTGCTGTTCTATATTTTTAAAATAGATAATAATTTTCACTGGTAGATAAAATAATGTATAAAGATTCAGGATTATGTACAAACTAGCAACTTTTAAATTTGCAAGTTTAAGAATCATAAGTTTTCTAGAAATTTATATGTGGTTTTGTAGTCAGGTAGATAAGATAGTATAAAGAGGATTATGTACAGGGCTAAACTAGCATATTTTAAAGTTTAAAGGTTATAAGTTTTCTAGAAATTTATGTGTGGTGTTGTAGTCCTCTCTATGTAGTTTAAATTGCACAGATTTCTTTTTAATTACTGAAAAAATAAGCTAATATTATTTTAAGTATGATATCCATCCATAGAAAATACAAATAAATTTTGTTGGGGCTGAGCTGTTGTTAGAATGCTTGCCTAGAACAGGACGCCCTGCGTGGAGTCCTTAGCACTGTCTATACCTTGCTGGAATGCATTCTCTGCTTGCTTGCTTGCTTGCTTGCTTGCTTGCTTGCTTGCTTGCTTGCTTTTGTGTTTTTTGAGACAGAGTCTCACTCTGCATGCCAAACTGGACTCACAATTAGTTATCTCCATCCTTCGCTTTCCATCTATAGGCTGTGATTACAGGCATGCAACACTGGGCCCAGCTTTGACTGCTTGGTCTTGAAGCTATCAAAGCATTGTGTGTGCCCTGACTCCACTGCTGCTTGTGAGGAAGGTCAAACTAACCTACATGTGAAGAGCTAGGGATGTATCTCAGTTGGTAGAATGTTTACCATGTACAAAGCCTTGAGTTTGATCCCCAGCACCACATAAACTGGGTGTGGGGTGGTATATGCCTGTAATCCCAGCACTGGAGTTGTGGAGGCAGGAGGATCAGAAGTTCGAGGTGATCCTTAGTTATATAGGGAGTTGAAATCAGCCTGACCTAGAATTCAGTTGAGATTCAGACTGGCCTAAAATTGTCAATTCTCTTGTCTTTGACTCCAAAGTAGGCAAAAGATTTCTGTTTGGCATATATCTTCCCATCTATATCTAAGGCTTTTAAAAATCATTTTATTTTAGATGTGCTTCCAGTACACAATAGTCTTTATTTTGCGTTAGCAGAATACTATTTATGACTGATACGTTCAATTTCATCTGAGTAGTAGGAAAGGCAATTTTCTCTGAATACTAAGTATTCCTGGAGGTTCTGGGTGACTGAAAACTTATAGTGAGAATACTTCTAGAGATATTCATATAATCAACTGAGTTTGTTAGGATAGATATAGTGTGCTTCTCAGTGAACAAGACTTTGTTACAAAGCAAGAGCAGAACACTGCTTACCTCAAAAGACACTGAAGAATGCTTTGGTCCTGTGGCTTGGTTATGTGGTAAAACCCACAGCCTTTTGGCCTTTATCTGGCTCTACCATGTTGTTCCATGGGAACTCAGAGAATTCTTAATGTTCCTGTTTCCTCCTTCCCTCTTTATTGAATTCAGGCTCCCAGACTATTGAGGTGCTACCTAACTTCAGGGGTGGCTTTGTTTTTATTAATCTTCCCTAGATATTTCCTTACAGACAAAAATATGGCTTACTTTTAGATGCTTTTCAATCTAATCAAGATTATCCATCTGTATTAGTTACTTTTCTGTTACTATGATGAAATACTATGACCAAATGCAACTTATAAGCAAGTTTATTTTGGCTTACAATTCCAGAAAGAGTCCATAATGGTAGGGAAGCTGGCTGGTTGTTTTTCATCCACAAACAGGAACCAGAGAACATAAATAACTCCTCAAAGCCCAATCCCAGTGACATGTTTCCTCCAGCAAAGCTGCACATCTTCAAAGTTCCATAACCTACCCCCAAATTACCACCAACTGAGGACCAAGTGTTCAAATACTTGAGCCTATAAGAGATATTTCTCATTCAAACCTCTACACCATTACTCAATGTCTAAAGTCTCTTAAAAGCATATGATACTGAACATCTTTTCCATGCCTGTTTTCCATCTGGCCTAGTTTGTTCTTCATTGCTGTGACAAAACACTGACCACTACCAACTTGGAGAGGAAAGGGTTTATTTATCTTACATCTCCCAGGTCACAGTTCATCAGGGAGCCCAAGGTAGGAACTCAGGGCAGGAATCTGGAGGCAGGAGCTGGAGCACAGGCCATGAAGGAATGCTGCTTACTGGCTTGCTCCCCTGGCCCCTGCTCAGCTTATTCCCTTATCCAACACAGGCCCACCTGCCCAGGGGTGGTACTACCCACAGTGGGCTGGGCCCTCCCACATCACTCAACAATCAAGAAAATACCCCACAGACATGGCCACAGGCCAGTCCAATGGAGGCAAGTCCCCAATTGAGGCTCCCTCAAGGTGACACGCTATCCAGCACACCATCTTTGTATCTTTTTTGATGATCTCTAATCTAGAATTTTCATTGATTTGATATCTATTGTTGAATTTTAGGAGTTCATTGTATATTTTGGATTTAAATTCTTTATCAGATATGTTTTACAAATGTATTTCCCAATTTTTGGATTATTATTTCAATTCTTAAAGTGTTTTTCACAGAGGTTTTTGTTTTTAGTAAATATATCCTATCGACTTTTTGTTTCCTGGTCTGTTTTAGTCATCATCAAAGTCAGTGCCAGCTTTCCAAATTTGTATTTTTGCATCTTTTGCTTTTCCATAAAAACTTAAGAATCAATTTGTCATTATCCAAAAAGTAACTTCTTGTGGTTATGATGGCACATGCCTTTAATCCCAGCAAAGTAATTTATAAGAATTTTAATTAAGGTGGGATTCAATCTATAGATAAAAAAGACATGTCTTCCTATTCATGAACATGGAATGTTTTTCCATTTATTTAGTTTTTTGATTGCTTTCATTAGACTTTTATACTTTTCTCACACAGACACTATACATATTTTGTTAAGATTTATATGTCTTAGTTACTTTTCCTGTCTTTCTGATAAAACACCCTGACAAAAGCGATTTAAGAAAGAAATGATTTATTTGCTCAAAGTTTAAGGTTAAAGTCTATCGTTGTGGGGAAGTCACAGCAGCTGGCCACATTGTACTCATGGTCAAAAACAGAGAAATGAATGCTTATACTTCATGCACCTTCTCCTTTTTATATAGTTCAAGATGCCATCCCAGGGAATGGTGCCACCCACCTTAGATAGGCCTTCCCACCTCAATTCACCTAATCAAGATAATCCCTCATGGGCATGTAGGGATGCCAATATTTCCCAGATGATTCTAGATCTCACCAAGTTGACAAATGAGATTAATCATCACAACTATACCCCTTGGCAGCTTGATACCCAAACACATCATTTTAGGTCATAACCTTCCACCCCTGGCCCCTTAAGTACATGTTCATCTGAAACTGCAAAATATAATCCAATTTCAAAAGTCCCCAAAATCATTAATAATTCCAACAGTTTAAAAGTCCAAACACCTTTAATTCCAGACGCAGGAGCATGTGGAGCTCTGTGAGTGTGGGATCTTACTGAGTTTGTGGACGTTTGTATATTCTTAATACAGTCCTTTATCTTCTACACAATTAAATATTTTCTTCTTTCAATTTTTTTTTTTTTTTTTTTGGTATTTTTGAGATGGTCTCCCTGTCGCCCCAGCTTGCCTGCAGTTCCCTATGTAGACCAGACTAGCCCTGAATTCAGAGAGATCTGCTTGCTTCTGCCTCCCAAGTGCTGGGATTAAAAATTACATGCCACTACTATCCTCAGACCTCTTGGGGTAAGTCGATAGTGCAGCTCTCCGCGCCGGGACTCCCTAAGCCACATTCACCCTTCCATCCCCC